CCTAATATCAAATTCGCTGAGCTCTATTGCCCACTTAACTAGTCTTCCTGAAGACTCTGGTTTATGCAGCACTTGCTTTATTGGTTGATCTGTTGGAACCTCTATAGTATGAGCCTGAAAATATGGTCTAAGTCTCTTAGCCGTAGTCACCAGAGCCAAAACTAGCTTTTCCATCTTTGGATATCTTTCCTCTGCCCCCCTCAGAACTCTGCTATAGTAGTAAACTGGTTGCTGAGCTCTATCTCGCTCTCTAACTAGTGTTGCGCTGGTTGAGAAATCTGAGACAACTAAATAAAAAGTAAGCACTTCCCTTTCTAAGGGGCTTAGCAAGACAGAGGGAGAGCTTAGGTACTTCTTTAGTGCTTTGAACGCTTCCTCACACCGAGTGTCCCACTGAAATGCCTTCTTCAAGACCTGAAAGAAAGGTTGACACTTGTCACTTGATTTGGATACAAAATGACTCAAGGCGGCTATCCTTCCTGTTAGGCATTGGATCTCCCTAATGTTGGACGGTGGTCGCATATCCAAAACTGCCTTAACCTTTTATAGGTTAGCCTTGATTCCTCTGTTGTTGACTATGAATCCCCAAAACTTCCCTGCTGATACCTCAAAGGCGCACTTTGCAGGGTTGAGTTTCATCTTGTACTCCTTGAGGATTTAGAACGATTCTACTAGGTGCTCAATGTGCAGCTCTACCTTCAGTGATTTTACCAACATGTCATCGATATAGACCTCCATGGATGCCCCAATTTGCTTCTAGAACATTCTATTCACTAAGCGCTGATAGGTGGCTCCAGCATTCTTCAATCCAAAAGGCATGACCTAGTAGTAGTATGTTCTCTGTTCAATCATAAATAATGTCTTCTCCTAGTCCGCTGGGTCCATCTTGATTTGATTATAATCCGAGAAAGCATCCATGAAGCTAAGGGGCTCATGTCCAGCAGTGGCATCCACGATCAAGTCGATTCGAGGTAAGGGAAAGCTGTCCTTGGGGCATGCTCGATTGAGATCAGTGAAATCAATGCAGAGCCGTCATTTCCTTCTTAACCAGCACCACATTCACCAACCAGGTAGGGTAGTCCACCTCTCTGATGGCTTTGGCGTGGAGGAGTTTATTGACCTCCTCATTAATTGCCTTCTGGCGTTCTGGAGCAAAACTTCTCCGCTTCTGTTTAATAGGTTTGCAAATGGAATTCACGTTTAGCTTGTGTGTGATGACTGAAGGGTCAATGTCTTCCATGTCCTCTTACTTCCAAACGAACACCCCCATGTTCTTCCTTAGGAATTGGGTGAGTAAGTCTTTCATTTCTCTACTTAACTTAGATCCCATGTAAATAATATGTTCAGGCTCTTCATCAAGCTGGACTGGCTCTAGTTCTTCTGACAGCATGGGCCTAGTGTCTAGCTCGTCCCTCATGTCAAGCTCATCTAGCTAGATATTTTCAACCTTTTTCTGTTTCACCGAGGCTATGTAGCACTCCCTAGCTATTCGCTGGTCTCCTCGGACCATTCCAACTCCATTTTCTGTAGAAAATTTTATGACCAAGTGATATGCTGAGGGGATAGCCTTCATTGCATTGAGGGATGGTCTCCCAAGTAGCATATTGTACGCAAAAGGGGCGTCAACCACCAGGAATTTCATAGTGGTGGTGGCTTGGCAAGGAGGGTCCCCCATAGTGAGCACGAGTTGGATGGATCCCATGGGTAGCGCCCTCTCCCCTGAGAATTCCATTAAGTGAGCACTTACTAGCTCAAGTTTCTCCTTTCCTATGCCCATTTTGTCAAAGGCAGAGGCAAAAATGATGTCAGTCGAGCTCTCATTGTCAATTAGAACTCGATGAACCGTTTGGTTAGCCACAATGAACCTTACCACCAACGGGTCATCATGGGGATGCTGGCAGCCTTCCAAGTCTGAATCCGAAAAGGTGATGGTTGTGCTCAGCCGAGATATTTTGGACACGGTGTGCACTTCCAGCTCTTCGCCAGCTCTGATCCTGCGCAAGTGTGCTTTCCTGACTGCACTAGATTCTCCACCGCCAGCAAATCCTCCAGATATCACTCTGATCTCCTCTAAGGGTTGCTAGTGCTGTGCAGGGGCTTGTTGCTGAGGTGCCGGTGGTGGTGGAGCCCTATTCTGGTTGTCATGGGCGACAAATCATCGTAACTGCCCCCTCTGGATCAAGAAATCGATCTCCTTCTTTAGCTGAATACAATCGTCGGTGTGATGGTCATGATCCCTATAATACTCGCAATACTTCGTTGGGTCTCTTTTAGCTGGATCTACCTTCATTCGTGGAGGCCACCTTAGGAATTTCTCGTTCTGCACCTCGTATAGGATCTGGGACACTGTTGCAATGAGATGGGTATATTGCTGAGATGCATACCTCGGCTATAGTTCAGGCTGCGGGGGTCTTAAGCGGTCTCTAACGTTCCGCCTTCTTTTTGGGGATCGCTCTTTATCTCTTCTAGGAGATCTATCTCTCTTTAGAAATCTGTTTCTTTCCCTCTCTCTCCTGGGACTTCGGTTCGTCTTTTTCTCTTCCTTTCCCTTATCTCTATGTGCAGAAGAGCTTCTTCGCCATTTATATATTTCTCTATTTTAGCAAGCACCTCGGTCATGCTTGCTTGGGGATTTTTTGATATGGAGAACATCAAATCTTTAGATTGCACCCCTAGACCAACTATGAAGGCAGTAATGACGAACTTTTCGTCTGAGACATCCACCTTTAACGACTCCGAATTAAATCTTTGGACATAAGACCTGAGGTTTTCTTGAGGTCCCTATTTCACATTCAAAAGGTGATAGCTCGGCTTTCTATAGGTCCGAGCTCCTATGAAGTGGGATACGAAGGAAATAAAAAGTTCTTTGAAGGAAGAGATTGAGGCCGAGGGGAGCCTGTTAAACTACACCAAGGCTGAACCCTTCAAAGTGATGGTAAAGGCTCGACAGCGTACGGGATCCTAGTACCCGTGCGACTCTATTTGGTTCTTATAAGTATTGAGGTGGTCCATGGGGTCCCTGGTTCCATCAAAAGACTCTATCTGTGGCATCCTGAACTTTGGTGAGAAGAGAAAATGCAACACCCCAGGTGTGAATGGAGATTCAGTCTGCTGTACCAAGGCGTCCATTGTAACTGGAGCTTTACTTCTGACCGTTTCCTTCATGTGGCTGAGCTCCTGTTGGATGCCCTTGAAGCGTTGCTCCCAATACTGTTCCCTTCTCTCCTACTGATAAGGGAAGACATCATTCTTTTCACCTTCATGGTTTTGACTTTGTACTTCTTCATTATGGCCATTCCCAGGGGTAGTTGGGGAACCTGCCCCAAGGTCTGACTATTCTCTCCTCCTTCATTATCTTCTCTAAGTGGATTAAGGTGTTGTTGATCCCTGTGACGGGGACTATTCTGACCTTCTTGGGTTGGACGTGCCTCCTGTGGGCGCTATAAGAGCTTCAAGAGCTCTTCGTTTTGCTTTAACAAGCGTTGATTGACGAGGCGAAGGGCCTCCATCTCATTATTCATGGGGGGATTCCCCATGGGAGGATCAGTCTCTGGGACGTTCTCGAGCTGTCTACCATTGGTGGCTCCCTATTGATCCTACATCCGAGGTGGGTTTGTTTGACTTCTACTCATGTTTCGTGTTGATACCATCAGTCACTGAGAGATCAGCTTATTTGTAACAGGAATAGTCGTTCCCACAGACGGCGCCAAACTGATGGTGCCAAACTAACGTGGGTGAACAAAGTGCGTGAGACCAAAGGTGAATCTAGGTTGCCAACTTCATAATGACAATGATGAAGTGTTTCTTAGGGGGTAGGAGAATTTGCACAGTAGGAATATAGTGGTTCACCGGCTCTGGAGCTCGGCTAATTCACTCTCTAATAGAGGCTCTTGCTCCTTTTTTCTCTATTGATTACTCGAATGTATTACAGTACAATGTATGATCTAATTAGGGTTTTTCTCCGGTCCTCCCCCTCTCGATGAGGCGTTTCCTAGTATTCATAATGTTGCTCCCTATTCTGTGGGATTTCAGTCGAGATCTTTGCCAATTATTCATGGGATCTTCCTTGATTTTAAGAGAGAATCTTGGTTAGTTGAGAGTTTCATGCATTGAGCTCAATTTCCGCAGTCATCCAGTCGTTTCCTGGTCAGTTCTGCTACGATTTCCCCAAGGGGAGCTCTACCCCTGGTTCTCTGAGTTCTCCGTGTCTTTCCTGACCTCTTGACTTGACCTCATTTCCTGAGCTCATAGCTAGAACTTGTTTGAGGTATCATCAGGTTTAAAGAACAAATAAAATAAAACTAATCTTTTTTCAGGAGGTAAAATAATTATATTGAATTAGAAACGAATCAACCCTATTGATACTGGTTTGTTGCTCAAATGTTGAATGAAATCAAAAATTGAATATGTTTGAAGAAGGACACTAGACTTTTTTTTTTGGATAAAAGACTGCTAGATTCTGGTACTAATGAAAAGTCTGGAATTCATCGAGCTTTTTGGTTGCTATACCTGTGTCGATGGCGGCTGGGGGAGGGGGAGATAGCCGATGGCGGTTTGGAAATGAGCAGAGGGAGTGAAATATTAACCTTGTAAAAGACAAGGTTAATTTGAAATGGGATTGATCCTAAGATATTCATTCGATGATTAATTGCCTTGTAGAAGGCAATTGTATCCAATGGAATATTTATACCTTTGCTCTTTTTTTGTGATTAGAGTAACATCTCCATATCCCCTGAACCTATTTGCATTAAACTGCTGTATCAAACTCGATATTCTTAGACAGGGTATGGAACATTCTTTGAATTTGTATTGAATTGCTTTGCTTTGCTTTTGACATCCTATAGTACCACTGAAGAATCCGTTATCCTACTACTGGCGTTGGATGGCTGCAAATTTCACATGTAGATATGCCAGTGTTAGATTTCATGCGAACCATGCAACTTAGGAGTTCCATTTTATGCTAGCTATGCTAAATAGGGAACTCATGTCGTTGGACTCTTATGCAAGTGCACGAGTTTCCATCTTCAGCTAAGGTCAGGCCACACTATATTGGGAAGGTAGAAGTAATGTCTGGATATATTGCACTTTCTGAATAGTTAAGCAGGGAAATTCAGTTATCTGCTTTATTTAGTAGCATGAAGTTGTCTTGAAATAGGTTATTGGCGCATCATTAAATAGTTTATAACTTGTTTCGCTCTTAAAGGGTGACCGGCTAAGGCAAGGAATCCCAGAGAAAGTTCAGGTCAACCAACTTCAAACTATCCCATACATTGAAGAAAAAGTCCTCCCAAGATTCCGCGAGAAAGAGGTAGAGGTGGAAGACATTAACAAGAAGAATATGGAGTTTGAATTGCGAATGGAACGGTTGGTTGCAGAGGCCAGTGCTTGGCAGCAAAGGGCCAAGTACAATGACAACATGATCAACATCCTTAAAATCAATCTTCAGCAAGTTTATGCATAGAGCAGAGGTAGTAAAGATGGGTGTGGTGACAGTGAGGTAAATGATACTGCCCCTTGCTGCAATGGTCATGCCATCGATTTCCACCTGCTTTGCAAGGATATCAATGAAATAAGGGAGTTGATGACTTGTAAGGTTTGTAGAATCAACAAAGCATGCATGCTTTTGTTACCATGTAAGCATCTCTGCTTGTGTAAAGAATGTGAAATTAAACTTAGTCTTTGTCCATTGTGTCAGGCCTCGAAGTATACAGGCATGGAGGTCTATATGTACTAGGATAACCAGCATTTAATGTCATGTCAACCTACACTTGTTCTTTTTGTTGTCTTCTATCATTGCTCCAGTTTTTTTTTGTTCTTGGGTGGTTTACTGTTTTAGCACCTCTATATTTCCTAAATTTCTGTGGACCATGTCCTTCATGTCTGTGGATTTTGTCCATTATTTTTGATATTCTCCTATCAATGGCTGAATATGCTAGCTACGATACCATGCCATATGATTGCTTTAGTGAACTGGTGTTTCTTTCACTCTCTGATAATCAAGCTATAGGCCAACATATGCATAATACAGTTTCTCAATGTGAGTATACATTTAATGTATAGCATTGAATTTTACCGAGATATTCAGAGGGAAGGGACATAGAAGAAACTAGATGTGCCACAGGTGTATCAGTAATGCGAAGTAAGAAGAGAAGAACCAAAAGGAGTAGGAGGATGCTGAAAAAGAAAATACATGCCCATATATTTCTATCTTACTCAAAATCTGAGATATTAGGGAGCTTGTGCAAATCATTGTTGACCCACATGTTATAAAGAAAAAAAAAGCTAGAAACCTTGATTAAGGAGGATTCTTGTTTTAATGCATTGCTTTTAAGATTGTTTGTATGTAATATTATACTATTACGTGTCTAACATGGAAGCCGTGCTCATTTTTGTCAAATGGACTCCATGGTTTTATGTAAGCACCTTAGACTCGGTGTTGTGTACGTTTTAAGTGAAATGATTATATATGACTGCCTCGAGAAAGAATGTTCCAGAATGCATTGATTTTCAATAACTAACAAGTCGATAGTCTGCAAAACCTGGCTTATACCAAGCCCAGGACCCTAGCTGTTTAGTACTTCATTATTATTACTTGCGGATCTTCTTGGCAATCTTCTCTAGGTAATTAAAAAAAAAAAGAAGCTAATCATGTGCCTTAGGCTCTTTTCTTGTGTGGATTTGATTTTCTTCTCTCTTTTTTATGCTGCTTTATGATACAAAGCTTATTGATTGTACCTATTTTTGGGGTCGCAGACTGGTTACATGCTACTTAGTACTGCAGTCAGGGGGATCCGATTGTGATCTACTTGATCATATGCCAACTTTGAATGCAACAGTCTAGTATAGCCCCCTACTTTCAAACATATATAGGAACTCCAACTTTAGTACGAAGCAAAAGAACTGTTTACAGGGTATTTCTAATTTTGCACGAATCTTTGCATGTTTCGCAAGGAGTTATAAGTGTAGTGTTAATATACTGTACAAACTACTCTCTCTCAAAATTATATCCATGACACCACTGGCTCCAACTTAGTACATCATATGGACATCGTGTCTGATTATTCTCATGTACATCTATGTTGTTGGTAACTATTGGAGACAACTACTACCTATGATGATAAATGAAGGGGAAAATTTCAATCTCTCCTTGTACTTATACAGATATATCACTAAACCTCCATATTTTGAGCTTTCACAAGTTCGTTCTCTCCCTTGTGGTTGGTAAGTGTAGTTAGGACCACAAAAGTTGCTTGTTAACCCTTTTGACAGAAGACTTCTGCATGGGCTCATGCTCCCCAAGCAATTTGTGGGTGGTTGCCCCAGTGAACCTACCGTAGAATCTTTTCAGTGTCCTGGTGAGAATAGTTCTGCAAGCATTGCTCCACTCAACAGGGGTGAGAGTTACTTCTGATGCCCCTCCCCCCGTCTCCCCTCTCTCCTCCGTTTAAGCAGTCTTTGTGGGAGAGATATAAGACCTCCATCTGACAAGTGTCGATGGTGAGCTAAAAAGCCCTATATTATATGTGCATCATGGACAAAACTCTGTGCTGCCTATTGTGCTTGTAAATGCTGCTCATTCTGTTTCTTAGGATTTTAAATTGATGGTTACTTTCATTCTTACTGGTCCAAAATAGAAAAAAAAAAGACAAACAAAAAAAACTAGTGGATTATCTTATTTGTTCATGACCTAGTATTATTTTGGAGTAACTGCTTGTGGTTATGCAAATGCAGGAATACTGTACTTCATACTGAAAACTTGTGAGTATCAATGATCTAGCAGCAGTCAAGAAAGGATGCCGAAAACTAAGAAGCCCTTTGTATGCTGGATCATTTTATAAAATGAGCGGCATTCAACAATCTTGTGCCCAAGTTTCAGGAATTCCTTTGCATTGTCGCAGGAATTCATGTAATCGATTGGGACTTGGCTTCTAGTAGAATTGCTCTGATGAATTCACGATCCACAGGACTGTACTAGCCACAACATTGAGAACCCAAGGTGTTCCCTTGTGTAGGATGTTAAGGAAAGGCCCCTAATTTCCTGGTAAGGTAATATATTTATCAAAACAGCGAATATGTTAGGTTAGGAGTACTGCTATATTTATGAAATATATATTAAATCTACATCCAAAATGATGTGGCATATTCACCGCTACGAGATACGTGGGCTTCATGAACATTTATTGGGTTTTTGGAATCAGTAATATTACACTGACCAATGTTAGATGCACTTAAAAACGAGACATAAAAATTAGACTTTATAATCTCAACCATTGAATAAGTAATAGGTTCCGATAAATGTTAGGACTCACACTGAAATTAATTGTTATAATTATTAAGTCTAGTTTTTAAGTTCACGTAGCATTGTCCCTTCTTTTATTGCTAGGAAAGTAAGCTGTGGATAATAACCTCAGAATACATTTGCAAACTTGACCAGCTTAAACATTTTATTGTGGAGTTCATGGATGTTTTCTTGTTCTGGATGTTTTGTGGTCAGACAATCCATCCAAGATAACCCACCATGCACCCAAAGAACAATCACCAAAGTTCTACCGTAGGCGAAACCACTATAGGACTCCTCACTCTGTGCTTACCATTATCTTCAACCCAAATTATAGAACCAAATGTAACAGGTTCATTCTCGTCACCTGAATAATTGATAGTCAAAGTGTAGCTCTGCTTTTCATACATTTGCCCAAACACCAGTTTGTCTGGTGATACTGTGACTACAGAGCCCTTTGGTGCCATCACCTCGGCCTTATAGGTTGTTGGACCCTTCCCTACATTTGTAACAGTCCTCTGAAATTTCTGAACTAATATGCCCATGGCTCCGTGAGTATACAAAGCGATAAATGATGGGTAATTCAGATCAGAAGACGAGGTCAAGCAAGGATTTTTGCTTGATCTTGTGATGGTTAAGATTTGATTCCGAGGGAAATTCATGGAGCAGAGGAGATTAACATAGTCTTGTGGAGTAACATCATATATGAGACCTGGATCAAGTGCGCGGTTTGGATCAACTTGACCAGCTCCCATGGCTAGAGGCGTAGCGATTTTGAAATCTAGGGCGTTGTCTTTGATAGGATTTTGTGTATTATCAAATGGATTTGCTGTGGTCATCATTGCAGACCGAATAGCTGCAGGACTCCATTCTGGGTGTGCACCTTTAAGGAGTGCGGCAATGCCAGCAGCATGAGGACAAGCCATGGACGTACCTGAGATGGCATTGAAATCACTGGCCAAGAACATATTTGAACCAATTCGAGCTGCATAACGATTTGGGACCCAAGCGGCTAAGACCAATGTCCCTGGTGCCATTACATCAGGCTTCAGGACGCCCGGACACTTTGGTGAAGGACCTCTTGCAGTGTAAGAAGATACAACAGGTGCAGTATTTGTACCAACAAAGGTCTGTTGGAACTCAATGCTGGCCGTAGCTTCAATACCAGCAGTTAAAGCATAATTGATCACCTCTCGTGCGTCCGTCGAGCTAATCACAACTCCAGGATAAATAAAAGACTCAGACTCAAAAATTCTTGGATTGTCAGATATGAAGATACCTGCACGAAAACTTGAAGCGGCAATATTGGTTATTTGTTCGTTGAATGGCCAAGTGTCATCGCATACGATGATTTCATATGACGCTCCTATCGATAGTTGCTGAGTTGAATTACAAGCAGATATGGTTTTGTTGTAAACGAGCTGTGCATTTTCCACAACAGCTCTTGCGGGGAACATGGACCAGCCAGTGACTGTTAATCCATTCCCCAAAGTCAATATCCCGGCAAACCAACGATCTATTGAGCCTGCCGCGACCGTCAAGATCCATGGAATTCCATTGTGCAATCTCCTACGTAAGCCTGCATTTCCTGCTGAAGAAGAAACCAACACACCTCTCTCCATGGCACCAAATGAAGCTATCGCAATAGGATCCCTATACAAAGGATCGAAACTAAAACCCATAGATATCGATATTATATCGACACCATCAGCAACAGCCTGATCAATACCAGCAAGAACGTCAGAAGCATAGCGCCCTTCGTCCCAGATGACCTTATAAATGGCTAGCCTAGCACGTGGGGCAACCCCTCTTGCTGTCCCCAAAGCATAGCCAAAAAATGAGGCACCTTCAACATAATTTCCAGCAACTGTGGATGATGTGTGCGTGCCGTGACCAAATGTATCCCTTGTGGAATTCATAGTCAGAAAGCCGAGATTAGGATTCGCAGCTATAACTCCCTTGCTGAAGGATCTAGCTCCAATGAGCTTTGAGTTACACAACGAAGAATTGAACTCTTGTCCAACCTCGCATGTCCCCTTCCATTTTAATGGAATTTTTGTCATTCCATCGTCTCGAAAGCTTGGACTTTCTGGCCAGACGCCGGTGTCAATAACACCCACTATAACATCTTTGCCATACTTTGAAGCCGGCCATAGCCCTGTGGTAGAACTGAGGGAGAGGAATTCAAAGGTGTGGGTTGTGTCAAGAGTGGCAAGGCTATCACTGTAAGCTGAGAGAAACCCTGGAGACCTCTTCACAGCCTGGAGTTCATCTTGAGAAAGGACTGCACTGAAACCATGAACTGCATTGCTGTATGTGTAGAGAAGAATTGGTTTGGAATGATGGCCATCTGATGATGATGTTGATCCGATAGGTTTAATGGAATCAACAATGGAGGAGTACCAGTGGTGGTGGCTAGCTAAAGCTTTGGGCATGAAAGTTGTGTCCATGTGGACTATGTAAGTAGACCTCTCTGCTGAAATTGAACCAGCATGAAGAGCGAAAAGAAACCATCCAAACAATAACATCAGAGGAACCCTTTTAGACAGCTCCATCTTTTCTTTACAGAACTTTTGCAATGACACCATGTCTGTGTGAACTATGAATTGTATATATGCATATCGGAGTGTGCTTAAATTGACCTTGGGTCAACTAAACTTTTTTGGGTCTTTCCTTTTCTTGGTATAGTCAGCTAGCTATAAGGTTGCAAAGGTTGCCACAACAACGTTGTTTCATTGAAATCTGAAAGTTGCAAATTGGAGTATTGGAAATAGTCTCGATTTATAAGGATAACACTATATACATTTAATTTTTTCTAAATTTTGTAATGACAAAAACTTCGCATATTGAATACACCATTTTGATCTGCTAGCTGCTATGAAGCACGAATACTTCAAATGGGTCAAAATATCCGTATCGAATATTTTTGGATACGGATACGCGTCGGATACGTCTGAGAAGTATCCTAAAATTAAAAAATAAATTTGATTTTCGGATATGGGCGGATACGTTTTAGATACGAGTGGGATACGCTTAAGATACGCATAAGAATACGGCGGAGTATTACTCGAATTTTAAAAAAATATAGGGGCACAAGAGCAATATATTTAGGCCCTTATTTGCAAAAAAAAAATATATTATTAAATTAAAAGTCTAAAAAACTAAAACCTGTATATTTTTCTTCCACAGCTCGTCAAGCCCCCCACTCCCTTCGGTCGATACTCGACGACGATCGTCTCTCTCTCTCTCATTCACTCATATTGACGATCGACTGACTCTAATGGTTAGTTATTATTATATATCTTTGGTAAATGTGTGATTCACTTTATAAATCATAATTATTACATTAAATATAATAAAAAAAATTTAAAAAATATATATTTTATGGACATATCCTAGTTGTACTCGTATCTTGTTTTTTTTTTTCCGTATTTTCATACACGTATCATATCATATCCATATTTTGTATCCGTATATGTGCTTCATAGCTCAGCTGTAAGCCTGTAACTTGTTTAAAAAAAGAGTAATGTTAGATGAATTTAAAAATTAGACTTAAAAATTAAATTTAATAATCTCAATTATTAAATAAATAATGAGTTCCAATAAATACTGGAACTCAAAGTGAAGTAAATGGTTATAACAATCGAATCTATTTTTTAAATTTATTTTATAAGCCCATCCAACATTGCTCAAAAAAAAAAAAAAACAAACAAGGGCAGCTTTAACGAAAGAACCTGTATCACATCACTCATTATCTGCCAGCTGTAACCTGTTAAAAAACACAAAAAAAGCCAGCCTTAACGAAGGAACCTATATCACATCACTCATTGTGGCTCAACCTATTTCTTAGTTTTATGTTTTGAAAAATAGGGGGAATCTACTTTTTATTTTTTAAAGAAAAAAATAAGAATAATATATTTTCTTTTATTTGTATTTAATATGATGGATAAAAAATAAAAATAATTAATTTTTTTGTGTGTTTTTTAAGATTAGAGGCGACAATCGAGTCATATCGTATCAGATTCGTGTTGAATATTAATCAAATATAACACAACTCATTGAACTAATCTTATTGTGTCAAGTTGACTTATTTATTTTTCGTGTCGTGTTTGTGTACGTATTTGTTTTGACCCACTTAAATTTTAAATAAAAAGTTTAATGCTAATATTTTATTTTCACTTAATCCATGCTCATATTATTTTTACAAACTAAAAATTAACTTAAATAAATATAATAATAATAGAAAAAAATATTTTTTTTATATAATAATTATGTCAGTGCTTAATAAATAGTTATAAATAATTAATATTTTATGTCTATAATACTAGTTACGCATGCTAATTTCGTATTACCATATACACAAAAAAAAAATAGAAAAAGTGTTTATTCATAGATACATAGGTTGATGGTGTCAATTTTGAGCTTGACTAGCTGAATTGAATATGAACCATTTATATTTTGTGTTCGTGTGTCAGGCCATTTTCAAGTTCGTATCGAGTTATAATCAAGTTTGTGTCATAAAATTCATGTCGAGTTCGAATTGTATTATCGTGTTCAATCGAAAATTTTCACCCCTAACTAAGATGAAAAAATATTTTTATTTTTATTTTTAATTTTTAAACATTTTAAATTTTTTAAAAATATATATAAATACATTTTTTTATCATTATATTTATATATGAAATATATATATATATATATAGATAAATAAGATACATTTCAACATAAATAATTTAACTTTCTATTCATTTTTCTTCTGATTTTAGAAGGATTAATTTTGATGAATCGAAAAGAAAATTTATCCATTCATTTTTTCGTCCTTCCTATTTTTCTTCTTTACCAAATATTTTTTTGATCCCTTTAATTTTTTATCTTTGCAATATAGATCTAATCTTTGCTGTGTATCACAGCCACCTTTCTTGACTTTTTGTAAGTTTTGGTATGTTACGAAATATTATTTGTAATTTTTATAAAAATATATTACATATAAAATTATTACATTTTATTATTTTATATGACCTATTGAGATAATTAACTAGGAATATTTAAATTTTTTATCACCTATAAATTTCGATCATATTCTATGCTATCTGATTTTATTGATCGGCTACCCAAAAAAATTAAGTAGGCTAACAGAAGATCTTTTAGTATTCCAAAAATTTAGAAACCTTAATATTTTATTGTAATTGTAAAATACAATTACAATAAAATTTATTGTAATTTTAGTTAATTGGGTCCAGAAGATGTTTTATTGTAATTGTTTATGTATTATTAAATTTATTATGTTTTCTTAAATATTATTGATTTATTGTGTTAATTAATTGGTGTAACTTCCTTAATTCAATTGTTAAAATAATTTAAAAATTAATACTTAAAAAAGATGTGTTCACTTAATTTCTTACTCCACTTCGTACCCAATTATTTTTGACGGAATTCGGGTAAAAATAGTATATTTGATCTAGTACGATAAGTTAAAAAAAAATTTCACAAAATATCGAGTAAAAAAATAAAATATTATAATTTAGTAGGATAAGGGTAAAATCAAGCCAGCGATTGGGACCCTCCACCAAATAATAATGCACCGAAGCACCTAGGGTAAAAATCAATCCAGCTAATGAGATGGCGACCCTCCACCAAACAACAAGGCACCGAAGCACCTAGAGCAATGACAGTAAGATCAATGAAGATATTGTTGGGATGTCCAAATGCATGGCGGGCATGTTTCGTTAGAATGAATTGAGTCTGATGTTCGCTTTTTCTGTGATGGAGCCTACAGGTCTGCCACGGTCAAGGGTGCTTGTGGTGTGGTTGTCTGCAACGATATTGGAGTCCTTGAACTGGGACGTGCTTTGTCTTTTTCAACAAGATCCAGTCTCTGTTCTGAAGCAGAGGCAGTGAGACAAGCCTGCCTTCTCGCTGAAACCCATTTGATCACAAACGCCTCCATCATAAGCAATTGCCTCAACTTTAATCAAGTTCAGCTCCAACGAATACGTTCTACCATGGCAAATCAGTACCATTGTTGAAAATATTAGGTTTTATGCTAGGTTATATAATCTTAGCTTTTTACACAAACCTAGAACCTACACAAAGACTGCTCATTGGGTCGCAGCCTCTTCTCTAAGTAATTTGCTCCCCCCGAATTGCTTAGGCTCCCCTCTCCCCCCGCCCCCCCCCCC